GGAAGGAGGAGGGCAGGCAGGGCCGCGGCACCTGTACTTGTTGGGGAACATCCGCTCGCAGTCCTTGCACTCATGGGCCTGCCCGACCCCGCTGCCCGCACTGGCCAGGCCCTCGGGCTTGAGCTCGTCGGCCAGGCCCTGGTAGAGCGCAGCGCCCACGGAGCCGCACGCGTACTTCTGGTGGCGCCGCAGGTCCAGTTTGGACCGGAAGAGCTCGTCACAGTTGTCGCAGCGGAAGGGGTGCTCCTCTGGAAGAGAGGGGACCGTGTGGAGTGGGCGCCCAGCCAGCTCCGGCCCTGCAGTGGGGGCAGGGGCCCCACGGTCCCCATCCCACTGCTGCCCACACTGGTCACTCCGGCTGCCGCACTTCGAGCCATCATCCGGATCCTGGGAGTGGCCACCTGGCGGGGTGGGATGGGGACTGTGCAGACTAGGGACCCTGGAAGGTCCCAAAGCCCCGGGTCTGGGCAACACAATGGGCAGAGAGAAGGCTCACTCCCATTCCTCACACGTCCCCTGGCGGGCGGGCGGGCGGGCCGGCCACGGCCCAGGCACAGAGCTTAGGAGCAGGGCAGGAAGTCAGGCCCAAGTGCTTTGTTTATGAATCAGGAGGCAAAAGCGACGGAGATCTAATGTGTGTCATAAATTACTGTCGTCAAGGTCAAACAAATTAAAGGGGGGCAGCTATTATTAAGTTTATGAGGCAGCATCCTGACCACAGTGCCAAGCCAAACAATCCATCCAGAGCTGTAAATCTCCTGGGGGAGGCAAGGGCTCATCCCCAGCCTGGCTGCTGGTTGCATGGGAGGGTAGCTTCCCCTGGCCCCCGGCCCCCTCCCCTCGCCTCCCCAGGACAACTTGGGCCCACCCAGGTCTGGAGGGAGCCCAAATGAGCAGAGAGGTGTGTATCCCTGTGCTGCTGAGCAAAGTGTATGCAGATGTGTGTGGGGGGTGGTGTCTGTGTCTGAATTCGCAGTTGTGTGCATGGGTGCATGTGCGTGCACTTATGGCTACGGTGTGTGCTTGCATGTGTGTACTTGAAAGTGTCTGCTGTGTTTGTGCACCTCTGTGTGAATGTGTGTGCTTGTGTTTGCCCCCCTGCCGGTGCGCGTGCCTAAGTGTTCATATGCACCAATGCTAATGAACATGACTGTGTTTGAACCTGTGTTGCTGCCCCTGTCCATGCGTGAGTGTGTGTGCATGGCTACTTTCACACCTGCACACAAGCCTGTCATTTCTGTGTGTGTGCATGTGTGTAATTGTGCCTGCATGTTGGTGTGTGCATGCGCATTTGTACACACTTGTGGGATTATGTGTGTGCATTTATTCATTTCACCATGCATATGTGTACGTGAATGTGTTGCATGCATCCATGATGTTCATGTGTCTGTTTGTATGTTCAAGTGTTTACGTGCTAGAAGCCAATGTGTGTTCATGTGAGTCATCCGTATCCTCGTGTTTATGGGCATGGGCTGCTGTTGGCACACATGTGCATTGTGTAAATGCGAGTGTGAACATCCTTATTACATGCATGCACATGCATATGGGCATGCATGCTTTTGTGTGGGTATGTATAATGTATGCATTGTGTGTGATCCTGCGTGCACGAGTGTGAACCTGCATGCATGGTGTGTGTTACGTGTGTGCTTTTGCACACCCCTGATGGAAAGCTGGCTCTGAAATGCTGCTCGCCTACCCTGCTCAGGAGATGTTGGATGACCCCCGTGGACCCCTCCACTCACAGCATTAGCCTCCAGAGCCCGTCTTCCTTCATGGCTTGGGCCAGAGGCAATGCTCGGGTGTCGTGGGCCAGGAGGAGCCCTGGGAACACCCTGACTGGGGGCCAGATGGTCACGATGCACAGACCCTCAGCCCTGGATGTTCTCATTGGCTGGCTCCCGGGCTGTCCCGTCAGCCACTGGCTGGAGGAAACAGAACACGATGGAGCGTGGAGGTAGCTGGCCCAGCAACCAGCCCTGCTTGGGGCCTGTGTCCTCTGGCCTGGAGGCCACTGTGCACCTTAGCCGAGGATTCTGGCCCCTGTGCCAAACAGCTCAGGCGATGCCAGGACTGGGAGTGCTCTCAGCTGTGTGCTGAGCTGAGGCCCAGACGGGCGTGAAGCAAGTCAACCGACCTGTTAGCACAGCCACAGAAGACTGGGGCATGGAGGGGACAGGGCAGGTGTCCAGGCCAGGAAGCCTGCACCAAGCTTTGCAAAGGCAAAGGCCCACAGGAGCCGCCGGCCTCCCAGTTCCACGTGTCCCAGCCAGGCACACTGAGCTCCGAGCACCGGGGTGCCTGCGGCCCGCTGAGGGAGCTGGCAGAGAAGATTCTAACCCGAGACCCATCCGAGGGCTGGCTCTCAGCTCTGCCAGGGTGGGGAGGGGTGACAGGGATGCCTGCCCAGACAAAGGCTCCCTTGAAGCCTACAAAACACTACACTCAAAGGACAACCTGAAAGGCCAGCTACTTCCAGGAGCAATGTCTGTGGCGGGGACCCCGTGCAGGATGAAGCCCGGAATCTCTGGGTGGCAGGCGCTGCTGTCAGCAACACCCACTCTTCACCCATCGAAGCCTGTGCCAGCTCAGGAGGGCACTTGGCCTGCGTCAAGTAAAACTGAGAAACTGAGGCTGGGCCGAGTCAGGCAGCCCAAACGCCCCTGCTGGCTTGGTGCCAAGCGGCAGGCGGGCTAGGTTCCCAGGTTGCTACAAGGGTAAGAAGCAGCACAGCGTGGCCCTGCGTTTGGGACGCGGTCACCCTCACGGCCTTCACCTGTGGTCACTTGGGATGAGCCTTGATAGCTTAGCCCGGAGGGCTTATTCTCGAACAGAGCTCGTTCCCAGACCCCCTTTTCCCCTGAGGGGCCTCGCAAACTGAAGAAAGTCCGAGGGGGTGGGGGGACACTCCCCACCACGTCACAACTGAGTTAAGAGGTGCCAAGCTCTCCCCCACTCTGCCTGCATCAGACCAGGAACAAGCCGGCGGGCATGGGCACCGGACCTTGGAAATAAACCCCTCCACCCACTGGGTTCTCCGGCCAGTTTGGCCTTGGAATCAGGTTGAAAGGGAAAACCCTCCTCCCCTTCCCCACCCCTCGCAGGGACCACAGTGCCCACTTCCCCCAGCCCCTGCCGAGGGGTGTGGACCAATCCCCAGTCTTCCACTCAGGTAGTAAGGCTGGCTCTGAGGGATGGGGTCCCCCGTTAGTTAATTCCACCGTAACAAGGCACTGGAAGCACGTGTTCTCCTCTCATCGCCTGGGCGATGGTGTGTGACTGTTCGCTGCCGTTTGGTGGATCCCAGACTCCGGATGAGAACTGTGTTCAACGGGGGTTGCAAGGCTGTGGCCTCCGAAACGGATCTCCAGGACTTTCTTCCAACTTGCCTCTGGGTGGATTTGAACCAGCAGCCTCTCTCGGTTAGTAGCTGAGCGCTAAACTGTCTGTGTCATCCAGGGGCCCCTGCACCGTACGGTATTGATTACTCTGCAGTTTACCTGCAGAGGTTCAGTGATTGGCTACAAACCGAAAGGTCACCGGTTCAAAGCCACCGACTGCTCCGTGGGAGGAAGATGTGGTGGTCTGCTTCCACAAAGGTACACACAGTAGCCTCTGGGGCTACTCTGTCCTGTAGGGTCGCTGTGAGTTGGAATTGACCCCATGACAAGGAGGTTGACCTGCAGTACAATGAGTTTATATTTAATAAGGCTCGACTGATCATAGTCTTTGTAACTCCCCCCAGATGACTGGGTGGAGCTATACAAGTGAGGTGCCGGTGGCAAGGGCACTGGGGAGCCTGCTGGTCCTGTAAGCAAGGCACGTGGCCCTTGGAGGGGCCACACCAATAAGGTGTATGGAACCCTAACGGGAGGACGGGTCATTTCTGGCGTGCTGCTAGCTTCCAAGCACCGTCCCAGAGGTTGGGAGAGAGCTTCACGGTCCACCCAGACAACCTGGGAGCAGAGTGGGTCCTCTGGCCTGAGCTCCCTGTGCTGAGCAAGTTCTCGACTAAAGAGTCAGAGAGAGAGAGAGAGGTGTGACCTCAGAGGTGAAGAGCGGGCAGGAAGCAGTGGAGACGGGAATGGCTCCGGGAGGCGACCAGGCCCCCAGGGAGTGAGAAAGCCCAGTGCCTTCCGTGGAATGCAGCGCCGCTGGGCACATCCCCGAAAAGCGGAAAAGGACTTTGTAACGCTTGCCAGCAGGGCAGAGGCCAGGCCGGGTCTAGGGCCCCAGAGGCTGAGGCCCAAAGGGAGAGTGGTACCAGCTAAGGAGGTGCCCTAGCGGAAGAATTGCATCCCTGCTAGTTCCCGATCCTGAGCTGCATCCTGTGGATTTTCTGATAAAATCTGCCACAGTGAATTTTTTTTCTTCCTGTGAGCGTGTAACCAGTGCAATGGATTATTGAACCTCGAAGAGACGAGGGGGGCAGGGTGGGCCCTGGGAGAGACAGCTGGGGTCAGCCAAGGTGAGAAGGCTGGACAGAGGGGGCCTGTCTGACCTCTGCCTTGTCCGACTCGGACTTGGGCTGTGGGTGCCAATCGCGATCTTCCTCTTCATGAGGCTAGAAGCAAGTCTGTGGCCTCCGCCCTGCCCATGCATTGTCCTGTGCGCTGCTATGTTCTAGGTTGTGGGGGGCTGTCAATGGATTCTGTCTCGGCAACCTCCGGGCCAGAGCAGAGCTGCCCCAGATTGCTGGCTCTTTTTCCCCGCAGAGGGAGTCTGCAGGTGTCTGAGCCCTTGCAGGGAATCGTCGCAAGCTGGGTGCTTCACTGCTGGGTGACCAGGGCTCCTCTAAGTCACATCACGTGACATCCCACAACGTCACATATCTCACTCCTCCCTACGGTAGCTTCCTGCCCGGCACCTCCTCTCACCACCATGGCTCCGGTGCGTCCAGAACGCCCCATTTTGCATTCAGAGTAGGCCGATCCCCCATGCAATCCATCCAGACTCCTGACACCGCTGCCCAAGATGTCAAACACAGCATGCTCCCAAATCATGTCTGCCACGCCCCTCTGCCCCCTCCCCTGCACCAAGTCACTACTTCCCTTATGAATGACCCCCCTACCCCGTTCATTTAGGTTTCTGTTCCAGCCGATGTGTCCATATATAGCTACATCCTATGAGCCTTTCTAAAAAGGCGACGTCCTACTTGCAGGGAACTCATGCTCTTTGTTTTCTCCTAAGAGCACCCCCCCCCAATATGATCATGGAGACCAAGTGAAATCAGCATGAGCCTCCCCCGATGTCCTGTGCTGTCCAGGTCATTCCCCAGAGGCTCTCCAAGGCGGTGGGGGGACGCTCTGATGGGAGCAGATTGCCAGGTAGGAAGTCTGGGTGGACTTGGATCCCTGGCCTTTTAGCGGCCGGGCGCTTACTCCCTGTGCCACTGGGGTACCTAAAGAGCCTCTGGAGCCCACGAGTCACAAAGCAACTTCCTTCCATCCTGTATGGACGTGAGCACTCGGTTTTTCAATGGAGCTGGGCTCTGAAGTAACCCTTCTGATGCCCCCCACCCCACCCCTACCCCACCTGCCCTTCTACTGGCACACAAGACTCCATTGGTCCCTTGCTACCTGAGTGTGGTCCCCAGCGACCTCCCTTCCCAACTGAAGAACACACAGTATGCAGCGGGGAAAAGAACTCCTCTCATGGAACTCTGGGTGGGGTGGGGGCGTGGGCACGGGCTGGGGGTGTGGGGGTCCCTTCTTTCTCCCCAAACCCCACCAAGCGGCCAGCACAGCAGCCCAAGTATGCCTGTCAACCCCGAGCCTCCCTTGTCTGTCTCGAGTTCCAACAGCAAACTCACGTGGCCGAGCAGGAATGCCACAGAAAAATAAATCAACGCCTAATGGCTTCAGGGAGCGGAGGGAGGACACAATGATGTGGCATCCACATGCTGATCTCCCAGGCTCGGAGCTCAAAGGAGCCAGAGGGACCCCTCCAAATTCCCGCCGTGATAAGGGCCTGGCTGTATTTAGCTGGGGCTGGGATAAAAGATTTTTTTATGATAATTATCTGAGCGAGGAACGTTTTTGCATTTTCTTTCTGTTGCGCCTCAGAGTTTGGCTGGGGGTGGGGCAGGGGGGGCGAGGTAAAGATCGTTGACAGGAGGGAGTGCGAAAGTCAAATATTGGAGGCTGGACCATTATGTGTGGGAAGCAATTAGCTTACTAACGTTGGATCTGTGATGAGGAAAATGGCAATGCAGGTTATTGAGTATCGGGGCTTGATAATAAGGAACTAAGGTTTTAAAGGGTGTTTTTTGGGGGAGGTGGTGGTGGTGGCGGTGCGGGGGGGAGACCCAGAGGTTTATTATCCAAATGAAATTTCGCACTCAAGCATTCTCCTTGAGCTCAGTCGATTTATCTTTGCTCGGGCTCGTGAGTGAGCAAGGGTACGGAGGTCTTTACAACAATTATTTTAAGGGAAATGAGACCTTCCTCCCTGCTACCCGGCTCCTGGCAATTTATTTTTCTTTTCTCTGCCGCTTAATTAAAACCAAACTTGAGAAGAGAGTTACAGACAGGACCCAGCTTGTAAAACTGTCCTTCTGGGGTGATTTCCTCTCCGACAAACCAGGGACTGCAGACCCTCACCCCCACCCCCACCACAATTTTTTTTTTTTTTAAGGACCGGGATCTTTGGAGCCATGCTGGGTTCTCTGTGTCTGGTCTGGAAGCTTCTAGCTCATGCTAACATCCGGCTCCCGGCTGAGCCCAGGTCCCTCCCTGGGCTCGGAATTCGAGTGGCTTCTTAGAGAAACTGGTAGTTAATGGCATTAATTATTAAGCCGTGGTGCGTTTGGAGGGGAGGGGAAAGCTAGGCAGAAAGGGGAAATCACCTCTCTCTTTTCTCTCACATGAGCAGGGCAGGGACACACCACGAGCCGAGCCGAGGGGCGGCTTTTCTGGTCACTTGGGAGGTCCCCTCTGAGAAAGGAAGCCAGGCCAGAAACCCAAAGCTGCCTACTCCCGGACTTTTTAAAGGGGATTTAGAATGTACCCCAGACTGCTCAAGGTGAACATGGATGAGGAAATAAACCTTTTATTTTTCTCCTTTTTTTCGGTGGGGAGAGACAAGCGGGGCCTGCTCGGCATTCGAATTGCTTAGTCCTCTCAGTCCGTGCTTGAGTCTGGACAGGAGGAAGGGACCCTGGTCCATCTCCCACGGAGAGGGGACACAGACACAGCTGGGCCAGTGGAGAAGAAAGGAAAGTTAAGGTGGCTGCTCCCATGGGGGTGGGCTGTTTCGGGAGCGCTCAGTCTCAATCCGTGCTGTACTGAGACCATTGCCCACCCCGCACCCCACTGCCCTAGAAAGCCTCCTTTTCCCCTGTCTTCCTATAAGCTCCCACTAACGGGGCTTTCTACATGGGTAAAGCGTTACGGGCTCTGAAACCCACGGGGTAGTTCTATCCTGTCCTCTGGGGTCAGAGTGAGTCAGCGTCCACTGCATGGCAGGGAGGGCTGTGGCTGTTCTATTAACGTCTCCCCGAGACTTGGTTTGATTGGTTTTAACTGGATGGGTATGGTTTTCTTCAACGAGATGAGGCCCCCAAGCCATCAGACTGGGTTGGTGAATTAAAAAAAAGCATATATATCTATATATATTAGGGAAAGCATTATATATACAGTATATGCAAAAATTATATAAACTATATATACTATCTATATTACATGTATTGTTGTTATATATTATTATATATAACATAGTATATAAATTTTTATGTGCTGTATATACGATACAATATATACCATCTATATTATATGTATTGTATATTACTATACATACTATATTATTATGTATATCATATAAAACTATATATACTATACTGTATATACAATACTATCTATATTATATTGTCACATATATCATATATTATATAAAATTATATATACTAGACTATATACAGTACTATCTATGTTATATAGTATTATATATCATATAGCACTATTATATAAAATTATATATGACATCTATACTATATAATATTGTTATATACGTATATAAACACATATATCTATATATGATATATCATATAAATTATATGTGCAATATATACACTATGGTATACATCATCTACATTATATATTATTATGTATCATATAAATTATATATGCTCTATACACACTATACTATATATACTATAGTATAGATGTAGATACACTAGAGAAAGCAAACGCTGCGGCTACTGGTAATCATTTTAACACAGCAAAACAAAAAGCAGAACAGTGGCAGCCCCCGCAGAGCCCACTCAACACCTGGACACCAATCTGAGCCCCTTCCTAACAGGCAGGTGTGCTCGTGGCCCGAAAACGAGCCAGGGAAGCAGCTACCTGGAGTTGGTAGAAGCAGCAGTGTCAGGAGGCATGAAGGGGATTAGGGGTTGGGGTGTGCCCGGGCGTTTCGGGCTGGCCTCTGCCCCTCTCTTCTCCCCTCGGTGGAGCTTACCATCCAGGCTGGGCGGCGCGGTCCCCAGGGAGTAGGCCCCTTCCTTCAAGTGCACCAGCAGCTCCTCTCCCGGCTCGATGTCCTTAATGACTTTATAGTAAACCTATAGGATGGGGAAGGGGAGAGCGCACATCAGTGTTCACAGAGCCCCACACTGAGGACTTCTGCTGACTGCAGAGGCGGGCTGACAGGTTGTGGTCAGTGTCCCTTTCAGTCCGGCTCTGTTTTCAGGTGTTTGTAAAGAGTTAAAGAGGCGAGAATTCACATCTAAGTGTCTACCATCAGGGCACACCCCCGTCCCCGACCAAAAACAACAAACTAACCAACCAACACCCCGGACATAGTTCCAGGAGTCAATTCCGACACATGGAGGGCCCATGAGTGACCGCGCAGCGCCGCCCGCTCCTCAGTTAGCAACTGTCATGGAGACAGATTGCCCGGCCTTTCCTCGGCGCACCTGTGAGAGTCGAGCAGCCCACCTTAAGCGTGTGCTGGAACACAGCTAACTGAGCCACCCAGAAGGGGGTGGTGGTATGAGAGAGAAGGGGGACAGGGAGACCTGGGCTGAGCCTGGGGTACCCTTCACAATATATGCAAATGATATATCTTTGGTGCATGGGGGTGGGGTGGCCTGGGGGCTGTGAATACATTCAGACCTGCATAAAGGTGGCCCTGAGCTCAGGCTGAGGTCTGGCAGTTTAAGACACCTTAGTGCAGAGGCCATCGGCAAGGGAAGGTGAAAGGGCAGGCTGGCCAGTGGACCCAGAGAGGGGAAACCCTAGAACACAAGAGTGGGGCCTCCCGGCAGATTCTTCAACAAGATAGCCCAGAGGTCCAGGGAACGGAGTTTTGAGTGTTTGGCTGAAGGCTCCCAGTCGAGCAAGTGTGAGTGGTGTCAGCTGCGCCTGCCGCTGTGTCTCCAGGACAAGGAAGCTGGAGTGGGCAGGATTAGGGAATCCCAAGTGATTCAGAAATTGGGGCTTAGCAAGGGTCCTTGGAAACCAAGCTTGGGGAATAGGCATGACAGGCCTGGAGTCTCTGCCTGACCCTGCCTGGGAGCCAGCCCCCTGCCCCTGACGGGGGCTGGAACCACCTACAGGAATCACGTACAGGAGTTCCCTACTCCTCACGAACGGACTGGCATGTCCAGAAATGAAGATGGGGTGCACTTTGCTTGTACTGCCCCAATACCGACCACCCTGTCCTGAGTATGAGCACCCAGGGCCCATGAGGCAATAGGGGCCCAGGGGCTCCCAGGACCTGCAGGTGCACCTGGAAGCCTGCTAGTTGGGTGGTAAAAAAAAAACCCCGCCTGGCCGGACTCCTCAGCCCTGGGACCTCGGGTGACAGCTCATCCGTCCTTTCCCATGGAAAGGTTCTGAAGCACTCTGCCGTTTGCATCCAGACAGGCTGGGCCAGAGGCCAGGCGTGCACTGCAGCCCTGCGAAGTGGAGGGAGGGCAGTGGCCACGGAAGTGGGGCTGGTGGAGATTGGGGATGGAGGGGCCTCTGGCTGAGGCCAGTCCTGGGCAGTCCTTGCCACAATGCTCCGGTTCCCATCGCACGCCTGCTGCCCCCAGGCCAGGTGTCCCCGAGGCAGCTGGGTCCAGACTGCCAAGCACACGGCATCTTCTCCCTCACTCCGTCCTCCCCAGGGAAACACCTGCCCCACAGCCTCCTGGTGGCCCTCCCCTTGGTGTCCCAAACAAGCTCACCCATCAACTCGCCTGCCCCGAGTCCCGAGGAGCCCCAGAAGACACCCATTGCTCAAATGGGTAGAGGGAGACCTGGCTGCGACCCTAGAGCTGACTGCGGGTTAGTTGGGGGCTGGCAGACCACAGGGCTGGGGCGACGGAAAGAGGGGGGCAGCCTTGTGCACGTTCAGCTTGTGAACATACCACAAAGCGTGTTTCGGGGCCTGAGGCGGGGGCGCTATTTTATTTGGCAATCATTCCCAGGTAAGCTACCCGGTGAAGGCAGCAGATTTACCACCAGGAGACAGCCCAAGCCCCACCCTTTGACTTCCTTCAGGGAGTCATTAAGATTGGAGCTTTTGTCTCTTGTCCAAAAAAACCCAAATCAAAAAAAGAATTCAGGCAGAGGTAGAATAATTGTTTTAAAATATCACAGGAGAGTCACTGTATCTCAAAATCAGACTGACAGGGCGGGGTGTGGCTGGTGTTGGCCTGAGGGGAGCCGGGGAGCTGGGGCCCCTCAGCAGAAGAGGCCAGCCCCACACACCTTCATTCCCCAGCTGCCGATCGCCCTGCGGGAAGGACGCTTCCAGCAAGGGCACCTTTAGCGCTAGGCCCTGAATGGCGGTCAGCCCAGCACCAGGACGCAGGGTGGGAAGGGGCAGCACTGAGAGCAACGTTGGTCTGGCCACAGTCACCTGGTGTCTTGAGCCCCTGCCCACGACTCCCCACCCCCACCCCCAATCCCGGGACAGAGGGTGTGCTCCTGGGTCACCTCATTCCCAAGAACGGAGGGGGTGGGGGTCCTATGTTGCAGGGACCCGGATGGGGTGGGCTAGGCCCACCTCCCCCAAATCTGTGGCTCAGTACTCCCAGAGGCCTAGGACCCCTGCCCTGGCTGCCCAGCTGACCCCTCCCATCCATTCAGGGTGCCAGACTCCTGGGGACCCCCACCCCACCTCTCCTTCTTCCGACCCATTCTGCAGCTGCTCGGATCCTTCTGTGCCAGCGTGCATCCTGAAGGAAGCCCCGAGGGTCTCAAGTGCGCGTGGCCCCCTGACCGGGGCCCACGGGATAGTCGTGTGGCTTGGCAATCGCGGTGTCTGCGGAGGCCTCCTGGACTTTGAGCTGCAGACGGCGGCATTAATGGCTATTAGTGCTAATCGCAGGGCCCAGGGCCAGGCGTGGTGGGGGTGGGTGGACGCCCCACCTGCCACTGCCTGGGCAAGGAGAAGGCGACCAGAAATGGCTGCAAACTTCTCCAGACTGGGCCTTGGCTGTCTGAGGGCCACCTCATGGACCCTGCTCTGACACACTGGTGGCATGCTCACGAGTTCCAAATGGCACCAGAGGACTTATCTTATAAGCCAGACTTGGGCAGGCACAAGCCCCGGTCTCTGGTCCTCATCATCCGGGGACTTCCCGGGACAAAGGCCGGCTCAGCGTTCAGCAGCATGAACCATCCGGGGCCCTGCATGCTGGTAAAAGAGGCGGTACACAATGCATTTTTATTCTCCTATAGGAAGCCCGCCCGGGGGCTCATCCATTCTCCCAGCAGCACCCCCGATATGTTCCTGGAGCTCTGAGGTCCTTCTGTACATTCTGTGACACTCAGACAGTGGCGAGGCGGCCACTTGATCTGCAGGCTACGCTGGTAGACAGAGTGTGTTGGAAGAGAGCGGGAGGAGTCTGCTCTGCCAGGGAAAACCGGTCTCTAGCCTCCGTGGCTCTCCCAGAGCCCCAGGGGCCGGGGACCAGGCAGGGCAAGGAAACCGAGCAGCTTGTTTGTTTGGGGGACCACCTGGAAGCCTCCCAGGCTTCTTTCTAACCCGCCGCATCCGCAGCAGTGCAGCCCCAGCAGATCACCCGAGCTGGAAGGTTCTTAGGGGCTCCGTGGGTGTGTGTGTGTTGGGGGTGGGGGGTTGGGGGAAGAGCTTCGCAGCAGGGAGTTTACTAGCTCCAATAAACGTCTACTCTAAACAGCTTTAAAAAATAATGATGGCAAACTCGGCCTTGATGTGAAGTTAACTCCCTGCTTCAACACTTCAGGTTCTTTTGTAACAACAACGCCTTCCCCAACGCTGCCGCAGCCCCCAAACAGGTCCTTCGGTCCGAAGGACCGCTGCCTTTTGAGTGGCCTGCCTATTTTCACCCCTTTCATCCCCCTCCACACACAGCCTGGAGGCTCCCGTAGGGACAGGGCGTGCAGGGCCAAGTAAATAAAGACCACTTTTCTCAACAAGAGGCAGGGAAATTGCTGGATGGATGGGAAAAGTTGGATGGCACATGGGCCGTGTTCATGTAGCTGTGTCTGAAAATGAGTCTTTTCGTTAGGATTTTGTCCCCCACCCCCCCAGCAGCTCTCGTGAAGACAAAGAATATCTCAACAGCGCGATGATGCTGAGCTTTGGATCCCTCCCCCCTGAAGAGTGCCTTACCTTTTTATTTCCTTTCTTTCTTTAATATCAAATTGATTTCCAAGAACAGATAGTGTTTTCAGATGTTTTTTATCCCTTAGACCCTGATCACCGGGTTAAGGGACACACTCTGTCAGACGAAGTCCCCCTCTTCCCCTCCCTTTCTGGGTAGAAATTGCTAGGTGGTGGGTGACAAGTCAGGAGAGGGAGTAGATATCTGGGTGTTTCTTTGTGAATGATTTTCTCAAAAACAGAGATGTGATCAAGTGGATTGGGGGGGGGGGCTCCCTCTTTCCTCTTCGATCAGTTGGAGGATCAGTTCAAAGGATGTTTGAATGAAATAGATGGAATAGCATTCTGACTGCTTATCTCCCCCCACACCACAAATCAATCTCTCTCTGGCCTGGATTTCAGAATCCGATTGTGCCTGAATTTGCTAAGGCCCCGGCATGACACAGGAGGGCGGCTTTTCTCACAAAAGCCTGGCGTGCATCAAGCAGAATTTGAATTCCTCTAAACCTCACGGCTGAAAAGCAAATTCTCTTAATGACTCAGCCCGGTCTCTCGGTCTATCCACCCAGAGAGGACTTTGGTCTGAGGCTTTCCCCCCTACCCCCCCCTGGATGGTTCTCGTCTCCCAGGAATATCTGAAAAGGCCGAGGCAGGGGAGAAGGTGAAGTTGCAACCCTGTCTGGCTGCTCCTACTCGCAGGCACCCTACCCTGTACTGTAATCGCTCACACTTGGGCCGCCTTCCCCCGGAACGCGCTCAGGGCACCCGGCGTCCCAGGACTAGCTGAGCACTTGGTGCTGACAAAGGAGCCCAGGGAAGCCCCAGTGTCCTGCAGGGACTGAGTCTGACCTCAGTCTCTTCTCTCGTTTGCTCCGGACTTTGCTTCGGCGCTTTCGTTTGCTCGATGTCTTCCTCCGGCTGCTCACGGCTGCGCAGGGGCAGAAGGACCGGCTGGCAGTGTCCCCCCACTTTCCACAGGTG